TTCTGCGCCCCTGCCCCAGCCTTCTCCTTGGCAGGGCAGTATGAGAAGCTGAGAAGTCCTTGACTGCTTGGCAACAGCTAAAACATTAGTGTGTTACCAACATTATCCTCATCCTAAATCCAAACCACAGCACTAGACCCGCTGCTAGGAAGAAAATTAACTCTATCCCAGCCAAAACCAGGACAGCTTTTTACAGTCACTGGAAAGACAGATAAAACCTTAAGGTAAATGATTCATTGCATCCTAAGCAGCACTCTGCTTTATGATGAGATCTACTATACCCTAACCCTACAGTGCTTCTCTTCCACCAACAGGAAAGACGACATTATCTCCCCGCCTGACAGGGCACCCACACACACGGACACCCCCATTGCACGCAGCGGGACTCCAGCCGCAGCCTGCAATGGCGCTCCGGGAACTATCAGCGTCCCCTCCTGCTGGCTTCAGGTTAAGCGGGCTCCTCTCGCCCTGCCTATGCCCTCAGGTGCTGGACTGGTCCCTGCGAGCTGCCATCAGCAAGAGATAATTTATTTTTTTCATTTGTACAGTAACACCCAATTTTCTGTAGAACAGCACTCAGACCCCACACGAGACAGCTCACCCAACGTTGGTGGAAGTTGTGTCCACCAAGGACAGGCCTAAGTTTAAACGCATTCCTTCCCACAATATCACACCAGAGTTGACTACTTGAATCAAAGTGCCAGTCGTAGCCAGTGCAATATCGCTCCAACGTTTTACGCCTCACCTCTGCACTAAGGTACATCTAAACTGCAGCTTGCAGTGTATTCCTAATCTTACCAGCACCGAGCATCACCTGTAGTTCCCACAGCAATCTCACCTCTTGTCCTGAGCATGTTACAGCCGACTGCTTTGTGCTATTGCCCAACGCTGCCCAGACACCGACTCTTTAGAGCAGACAGATTGAGCAAGTGGACAGATCTAAGAGGGCAGAAGCAGCCAGATGTGATAGCTGATCTTGGTTCCATTAGCCTAAATTCCAAAGAAGTCTAACTGTTTAAACAGACTTTCCGTTGGATTTACCTCAGTATAAACTAAGGCGTAAGCCTGGACCTGTATTTGTCAGATTTTCCACTTGTGTGTAATTAAAAATCTGCATTACTGCCTCATTAACATTGGTTTTAAAATTAAGCTTTACTCAGCTTTTAAAAAAGACAGATGTACAGACTTTTAGAAAACAGTGAGGTATTGAAAGAGATCATTTATATCCACTAAGATTACTCAACTGATTACCCTGGTTACAGGAACTCTGTGAGGAATACTTGATGAAAGTTTATCCTGATGAAGCCCGCTTCGATTAAAGCCATTCTTCTTCCCCGATTCATGGCATTCTCCTAAACCACTGCCTGCAGCCACTGCAAACCTGCAGCGCGGCACAGGCTCTATAAATCTTCACTGTACTCCCTACTCCTTCCATCCTTTGCCACCAAGGGCATCGTTGCCACATCGTCAAATTAGAAAAACACAAGTTTATTAGCACCAACAAGTAATTAAAGACCAGAGCGACCAAAGCGTTCACTCAGGTTCACAAAATCACCAGAGAGGTTCTGGTGACCAGGAGAGCATTTTGGGGACAGAACCCCGCTGCCTGCAGCAGGCTCACAGCCCTTCCACCTAACTGCATAAAGCGAAGTCACTGCTGATGAGATGCAAGAGGAAAAGCAGTACCTCACAACGGGGTCCCATAGGGCTTCAGAGACAACACGTGTCCTTTTAAGCTGCACCCAGAGGCAGCCTGGCAGGCACGTTGGTGGTGGGACACCACGCCGCTGCCCGTGGCACCTAGGAGACACCTTTTCCCAACAGCCCCAGGTGGGCTGAAGGGTGGTGATTCGGGCCAGGGAGGGGACACCCAGAGGCATCAGGCAAAAGAGAAGGCCCAGATCACCACCACTGCCCCACAGCTCAGCTTAACTCTGAGCAGCATCACCCTGCCAGCCTGAGCAGATAGAGAGGGTGATGGAGCAGAGGGACCCCTGCAGAGATGCGCTACGGAAGGGTGATGTCCTGCATCAAAGCCCCTTCCCTCTAACTGTTCTCTTCCTCATGAGGAAGGCATCCAGCTTTATCCTCTCTGCGACAATGATGCCACGGGAGGGGGGCCTCCACTCCCACAAAACACATCCATCTCCCTGCACATACCCCTCCAGCCCTTGCCCCTCTGCGGCTGGGGCAGTTGGAGTCGCGTTTGTCCCCAGACACTAGACCTAAGTGAACTGATAGCAGGGACACAAACTGACAGGCTGCATAGGAAGTGCCTGGCTCAGCAGAGCCCAACTCCAGCTCTTTTTCGGACAGCGAATAACCACACCCCACCTCAGAAGGTGGAGGTGGCAAGCACAGCAGACCTCCGAGCAATCCTTATCTGCCAGCTGGCTTACTGGCACTATGGTCTGACATACCACCACCGTATCCTTTCAAAGCCACCTATATTTGCACAGGCAGCCCTCTGGTTTTAATCACAGGAACCTAGAAGTAAGGCAAAAAAAGAAAAAGGGGTCAGGTCCTTCTCGCAGAGGTTCAAATGCAGCCAGCTGACATGCAGCAGCAGAGAAGGCGTGCAGGCAGCCCTCCACTGCAGGGCTCCAGTGCCATTCCTTGCCCTGAGGCAAGCTTAGAAATTGCCAGCCGTTCTGCTTCTGTTTACAGGACAAACATATGTATGATAGTGTTGTAAGTATTAGCCTTTTTTCTTCTTTTGTTTTAAATACACATTTGTTCAAGACTCCCAAGTGCCCCCAGCTGCAGCCAGGGAGCCATTGATATGTGCACAACTTATTTCATCTCCTGACAGAGAGACCCAGAGGAAACAGCCAGGCGTGTCACTGTCGTGCGGCATCACCCCAAAACAGCCAGGCGTGCCGCTGCCCCACCACCTCGCCCCACAGTGGCAGTGCTCCCCACTGCCTGCCCCCCGTCCTGCTCCAAACGGGGCCTTGGACTGCAGCAAACTTCCCACCTGGATCTACTCCTCCCTTCCTATCATGGTGGGGGTCAGCAGTTAATAACCAGCAGTCTCTTTACTACCCCATGCTTCAAAATACTTCAGGAATACATGGCATTCCCAATGCCTTCGGCTGCCTAGGAGAGGGAGGCTCCACTGGGACGATCAGGCAGGCAGCTCCTGCAAGCAGCTAGAGGTATTAACAATTAAAAAGACGTCTCAGTCCAATCATGGCATGTCTAGAAAGGACTGCACACTGACAGACACTAGCAAAGCCACAGAGCCTTAAGCACACCAGCTCTCCCAGTCATGCTGCTAGAGGTGCTTCATCCGAGGCAGGTAGAGGCCCACAGAAATAACACAGCAGGGGTCTCCCTGTGCTCCACCATTCCCTTACTGTGCCAAGACAGCCAACAGTGACCCCGCAGTGGTTAGGGAGCTACCATCTGCTTTTGGCAGGCCAATAAACTGGTTAAACCACTATCCACACGAAAACCTCTTCCAGTTCAAAGTAGCACCTGCCTGCTGGAAACACCGCGGTGTAGACGGGGAAGCTGACAGAACCCCCACACCTCTTCCCACCAGCAGCCTCTGCCAGGCTAAGACGATCATTAGGTTATCAAGCGCTGATGTAAGCGACCTGCACTGCACCACAGAACTGCTTGAATGCTCAGTAACTCCACAGGACAAAAATGATAAAACAGCAGGGAGATAAAAAAGTTATTAGCAAGCCCTTGTCATAGCCCACGGGAACATAAGGCAAAGCTCTACCTAGATACATCTCCAAAAACAGCCAATCGTGACTGAAATACAAGTGACTGCGACAGATGCAAATCAGAGATGGAGGTAATTCATTAATTGAAAGTGCAATTAACTGAGAGTTGCAGTTACCTGCAGCTCAGGAAGGTATTTAGACAAATGGTTAAGTACTAGCCTCAGTAAAGATGCTTTTCTAAACAAGAGCAGAAGAGCAGCCCCGCCGAGGGCTGCCAACCTTTGCACCCCCTGAAGGGAAGTCCATGGCACCGCCGGGACAGCCGTCCCAGAACCGCATCGCCGGTGCGGGGAAAGCCATGCACGCCTCAGCAAATAAAGGGGTTTCTCCTTACCTGAGCTGTATCTGCTGCGCAAACAAAACATCCTGAATTGATCCGATGAAAATTTCTTCAAGAAATCCTAAGCTCCACCCACAAAAGAGACAGCTTTAGTATTGTATCACACAATTCCTTCAGGAGTTGTTCCACCCCCTTACACTAGTTTCACAGTATATTTCAGACAAATTAGTGTGACAAATAACCCATCTTTGTAGTTTAACATAGGCATAAAGCTTTAAACTATAGCACTGGTTTAAAGTCTAAACTAAGTGAAATGTAGTAGATATGCACGCATATCTATCTTATGTGGAACAAGACATAAATATACACACAATGGCAAATATGAAACAGTGAATAGTACTTTCTAATTATGATGAAATATACACTGTATAAAGACCTTTGCAAAAAACCAAACTGAAATTATCAGACTAATATTGAGATGCAACCTTGCAGGAAAGGACAGCTCCTGAGTTTTGCAAATTTTATGGGAAAAAAAAATTCTTGAACAAGAAAATAAATATCCAATTTCTGCAGGATTAGCATATGAAAGAAAACAGAGAGTGAACAAAAATATGTTTAATATTGCTAGAATTTATCTGTGTTAATTATGAAACCTCATTAATTTCACCCTAGTATTTATCTAGTTTTACAAATAATTTACTGCAGTAAATAGTAAGTTATTGCTATTAATACTAGTGTAATTAATTTATACTAATAGTATAAAGAACTATTTCAATACTTGGAAGGTACACCAATAAAATACTCAATCACTTCCAACTCTGCTCTCAGTAAGGCTGGACACTGTGGCAGATTGACTGCGAACATTGTATTCCTGCCTTTTTGTTTGGGGTTTTTTTGTTTTCTTGTTGTTTTGGGTTTTTTATTCGTTTTTTAATTTGCAAATTGGTGATTGTAAGTTTGTAACACTGAAGTGCCACTGAAATAGAAAATCATAAGGAGAACTCAGTACAAGTGAAAAAATACGGAAAATGTCATTTGCTTAAAGATGTACATTTTGAAATTTAGCTTCTGCTACCAAACCAGTCTGAACACTGAAGGTAGCAAAGCATCTGCAATGTGCTGTCTCTCGTGTAAATAGAAATAACTGAGGCAATCAGGGCAAGCTAAATAAAAAAAATAGATAGTGATATAGTTTGATTTTTTTTTTTTAAATAAACTCTATATAACTGCGCCTAGAACCTTTATGCTAATATACAGAGGTAGAACAATATGAGTAAAGTATAGAAATAAATTCGAGTTTGGGAAAGGACCATCTGAACTGGAAAAAACAATTCTGCATTTCATTAAAAACGGGAGTACAGAAAAAGTATCACAGCTCTTTCAAAGCAGGTTGCTCAGCCGTGCTTTATCACAACATGCTCGATTTCGGGGGTCAGAATTAATAGCTATTTTAAAAAAAAAAGAAAAAAAAAGAAAAAAGTCATAGAAGGGGACACGGGGGAGGGAAAACAGGGCAGCTAGATGTGGAGGATGCAGGGTGGCTGTGTCCGGGTGACAGCCTGGCATGCAGGCAGCCGGTGGCAGGAGCAGGGGAAGGTCTCGGACAGGCCACCCCTCTTTCGGAGGGGGAATAAAAACTTCCACATAGGGCTTAACTTTCAAGATGCAGGAAGGCTGTACAGGAAGAAATCTGTTTCACTGGACTGAAAAATCACTTACAGGAAAGGACTAATACTTGTTAGCCACATCCAAGGGCAGAAATTAAAAGCAGAGACCCACAAGGGAAGAGAGATCAGCCTGAAGTTTTTGTTTTCTCAACACAAAGAGGTCTCACCACAGACGTGGAGGGGAATGTTTTTATAAGTTACTTTTAACTGCATGCATTGCTTTCATGGTCGTTTCTCCACCCAGACTTGGAAAATTGCTGTGAAAATTGTGAGCGACAGGTAATTTTCCTGGGGGAGACAGGGCTTAACTGTACCCAGACAGCATCAGGAGAATTAAGAATAAAAGCAGCTCATATTGAACTCCTTTTTAAAGGGATTTTAATTAAGTCTTGCAAGAGGGCAAAGGGGAACATATGTGCTGAAACAGCTTCTCCAGCTTTGTCTAAAGGAGGGAAATTGCCCACTTGTAGTGGTAGGTGTCAGCCATCACGGGAGCCACCCTAGTGCCAAGCACAGCTGTATCCCACGTGCATGGCAGAGGAACCCTGCTCTGGGCTGCACCAAAAACTTTGGGGCACAGTAAAACAGGATACATTAATGTTGCAAGGTCACCATGTAAAAATAAAGGAGAATATGAGAGACTGATCGGCTGGAGCACCTCTCCTATGAGGACAGGCTGAGAGAGTTGGGGTTGTTCAGCCCGGAGAAGAGAAGGCTCCAGGGAGACCTTATAGCAGCCTTCCAGTACCTGAAGGGGCCTACAGGAAAGCTGGAGAGGGACTGTTTATCAGGGAGTGTAGTGACAGGACAAGGGGTAATGGGTTTAAGCCGAAGGAGGGTCGATTTAGATTAGATGTTAGAAAGAAATTCTTCACTGTGAGGGTGGTGAGGCACTGGAACAGGTTGCCCAGAGAAGCTGTGGATGCCCCCTCCCTGGAAGTGTTCAAGGCCAGGTTGGATGGGGCTTTGGGCAACTTGGTCTAGTGGAGGGTGTCCCTGCCCATGGCAGGGGGGTTGGAACTAAATGATCTCTGAGGTCCCTTCCAACCCAAACCATTCTGTGATTCTCTGATAGTGCAGTTGCAGGACACCCAATGGCTTCCTGACAAAATGCTGACACTACGCCCCATTTCACTTAAAGCAGAACAAGGAAAAAGGTCCACCCTTTTCCAAGTCCCAAAAGCACACACACTATTAAGAGCAAACAGACAAGAACCCATCACTATGGAACAGAATCATTTAGGTTGGAAAAGAATCTTGAGATCATCGAGTCCAACCATAAACGTACAATGCAGAAGGCTGGTATTGAGTACAAACGCTGTTCTTACAAATGCTCTCAGCTCAGCAAGATCCATGCTATAAGCAAACCCCGACTCCAAGGGGGTTTCCTACATCCAGATCTGCACTAGCAGGTACGCCAGCACTAGAGAAACACTCTGCTTCAGGTCTTTTGCTGCAGCGTAAGCACTCGCTCCAAAGTTTTTTCAAAAGAGAGCTGTGATTAATATTTACATGTATTACAAACATACATTGCTTCAATTCACAGAATTAGATTACCTTAATTGTTACGTAGTTTTTTAATGACTTGGACATTTTTTCTTGACTTCCTTTAACATGCAAATGCCCTAGAACAACAACAAAAAAAATCAGTATAAATGAGCGTGCTCTGAACAGGGAGTGAATGAGAAAGATTGCACTGAGACACTGGAAACGCTGGAGGCAGCATATGCTGTGATGGATATGCACCATTTCAATGCAACATGCAACATATTTTTTCAATAGCTTTGCCTACAGTCCTGCACACCTCTCCATCCTCAACTTTTGCTGGGAGAATTTTAAAACATAGGAAACGAAAATGTGTTTTTTAAAAAAAAAAAAAAAACAACGCAAAACAACAAAACACAAAACACCACCACCATGAGCAGAGACATTAATAAGAAAGAAACAGAAGTGTCTCCCTGCTGAGAATTCATAATAAACTGATAAAAACAAGCAAGCAAACCCTTTCCAGTCTTTACAGAAAAGTACCTTACCTGTTACCCTTGACTTTTCAGAAATATTTTAAGACCTTTAAAGATCGTCCAGTGATCTTGCATTACAATATTCTTGAAACTAAACAATTTTTCTGTACTTATTACTTGCTGGTGGCTGTTACATCATTTTTTTTTTTTGGCCAAAAGTTTATTGTGCTGGTTCAAAAAATACCTTACATGTAAAATCAATTTTCTGCAAATTCCCTATTCCTCCAGACTTTGGGAGACTGAAAAAGAAGGGAGAGGGAGGGATGTAGCCATGATGTCTAATTTCAATCAGCTTATTTTAAAATGCAATCCGTGAGCACTGCTAGAGCTTTCAATAACCATGGACCGTTGGTTTGCAGGGCTGTGGTACAAGAAAGAGGCAGTAACTATCTCCATTGCATTTAGGAAAGTACGTAGAGCTCGGCTTCAGGACTGGAAGGTCTGTTGAAGCAAGACAGGAGAGGGGCAACCTCAGGCTGTACGCTCCCGGGCCTCGTCTGTGCTAGCCACGGCACCACCACTGACGGAAAACATCAATTATTCACAGCAGCAGAGAGGTGCCGAACACGTAGCCAATTAAAGACTACTCAGCATCATTTCAGAAATGTTGTTAAAAGCCTTAATTGGACAACATACGATCACGCTTCTGCTTTTACAGGTGGTGGCAGAGGTGGCATTTCTTGCTCAGCAGCCTAAACAGCTGTCTGGATTTTATGCTACTCTCCATCCAGCGCTGCTTTTGCGGCCTCGCCTGACACCCTCTCTCTCCCGCAACAGATAAAATCCCCATTACGCTTGCCTGGATACATAAGCAACATGTTCAGGCCTGGTAAACGAGCATGAAAAGTATCCGGTTTCACTTCTTGGCTATTTCTGACAATAATTCAACACAATAGGGATTCTCCATGAGAAGGCTACCTCTGCTCCTATCCCGACCATCTGGAAATTTAAGTTCGCACAACACCCTCTATCAAGGGTAGGAAATAACCAAGAGATCTATGGATCCAGAACCAGCTACAGCAGAAATCTACAATCAACCCCAAGTCTCATTTTCATGGTGTTGGTCCTGCTTGCTAGCAGGCGAGGCCATTTTCATCCCTGCGTGGTTAAACTCGGGGCCCTCAACAAGAACATTCAGGCTGCCAGAGGCACTGGACACCTGCAGCTCTTGCGACTCAAATAAAACCCACAGACAAGCTTCTCCTGGGAGAAAGGGAAGAGCCTAGGTACGATTATTATTTTTTTTCTTTCGCAAGCGTGCCTGAATATTGACTGACTTAACTTTAGGCAGCCAAGGTTAAAACAGTTTCATTGTGTGTTCCCAATAAGGTACAGGTAACATCTGAATTTGAAATAATATTCCTCTTCAAGAGTTTCAGCAGTTAGAAGGATTTCATTAAAGAATCACAAAATACAAGGATTTTCATAACTTTGGCTTGGCACTCTTCCCAGAATACAAGTAGTCTAAAAATAGAGTCCTTATAAGAAGATTTATCCCCAGTGCAGGGATTTTCTTCCTCTAATGGGGATTGCTCCTCCAATTCTAAGCCTGCTAAAATTCTGAAGTCTGTTACCAGAATAAATTGTTTCTGAAGCTGATTCATTTGCCCTAAATAATTCACACTATCGTCCTCCAGCAAAGTTTTTTGACTTAATGAATGTAATCTGTCAGCTCCTAGAGAACCTCAGTGTACAAGTTGCCCTTGGAATTAAGCTCTTTTCCTTTTTTTTTTTTTTTTTTAAAGAAAAAATGACTCCTCTTTAGTTAGTTAATTTCAAAGAATATTTCCCCTATAGTTTCAATTCCAGGCTTGAAAAGTCAGACTGACTGGTTTTCAACAGAAGGCTCCACCTGGCAGTAACCAGTGCATCTCAGTGGAAGAGCAGAGAATTACCCAGCACATCAGAAGCAAAGCACACCCTGGAGGATGCACCAGCCTCTGGACAATTGCTACTGATTTAGAACAGGCTCTACACCGGAAACCGAAACTAGAATATTCACCCCATTCAATTCAAATATATATAAAAAGAAAGCTCAAGTAATTCCCAGAGCATAGGACAAGCTTAACTCTGCATCTCTTACTCAAGGAAGGAGCTCAGAGTTCACCAAGACATCTTGCACAAAGTACTGTTCAACAAGAAGAAAGACTGCAGATTTGAACCTGACTTTCTATTGTCTTCAGTTCTTTGGAGACCATCCAGAACCACCATGACTGCAACAGGAAGAACAAGTTTCACAATTTCCATTAACGGGAACAGTGCTACTACCATCAGACAACGACGTAGTTCAAAGCACTGTACAACACAAACTTCACCAAAGCACAGTCATTCAAAGGCAGCAAGGAGCAGTTCTACATAATGCCAGGCAGTATCCTGCACTGGAGGCACTTTGGTACAGTTTAGCCAGGCATAGCCAGCGAGGTGACTTCTGGGGGAAGAGACAGGGTCTATGACGTCTATGGGCTACACCAATACCAAGTCACTCCATAGGAAAGGAGAGAGACACTGAAGCTGGTCAGAGCACCAGAGAGCGTTAAGGGACCATAGTGATGAGACTCAATATCTCCAGAGCCGATGAATGAGTGACTTGGTCAATTTAGATTAGATGTTAGAAAGAAATTCTTTACTGTTAGAGTGGTGAGGTACTAGAACAGGTTGTCCAGAGAGGCTGTGGATGGCCCCATCCCTGGAAGTGTTTAAGACCAGGTTGGATGGGGCTTTGGGCAATGTGGTCTAGTGAAGGGTGTCCCTGCCTGCAGCAGGGGGGTTGGAACTAGATGATCTTTAAGGTCCCTTCCAACCCAAACCATTCCATGATTTTATGTGGCCCACAAGTCACAGATCTCCTTCTCTCTACTTCTCATTGACCATGCCTGACCAGAATAGACCAAGCACCTGACTCACTTGGTCTTGTTTCTCACATCCATCACTAGGCATAATGCTACTGGTGGATAAAAAAAGGCTTCCCAGGAGAAGGTAAGTAGTTACAGGTATGTGAATTATGCACACAGAACGTCCAGTGGTTAGTTGCTGCAGAGTGCCTGCCTGCAAGGCTTCCCTCACATTTCAAACCATACAAGCCATCCCAGCTCAGACACTTCTCTGCAGGATCACAACTTTGTGAGCTTTGCTGGATCATCAGTTCATGTACCTTAGCATTCCCTCCATTATCATCTTCCAGCAGTACAGATGTCTTGTCTTTATAAACACAGGCTACTTGATTCCACATGCTACTGAAAACTTTTTTTAGGCCCACAAGCAAGTGGTGCTGAGAGACACTGGAGAATCAGATGAGTTTATTCTATTCGCAATGCTTTTAAAACCTTACAATCAGCTACCTGCCCACCTGCCAACTCCAGTCCCCGCCTTCAGATACTGTGGGTTCTGGTTCTAAGACAGTGGGAATTTCTGGTTTTAGGAGGACTACATAAACACATATAGAAAAGATCAACTATTTTCATCCCCTTCCTGCAGGACTGTTGCAGCCAAAATACAATAAAAAGAGAAAGCCTATTACAAAGAGTACTCTCAAATTTTGAGGAAACTCAAATGAAAGGGAATGAAATTCTACAGCAAAAATTCTTCTTTCCACATTTTTAATTAGGTGTAAACACTGTACATGGGCAATGCATATACTGTTATTTGGAGATTTCCCCAGATGAAATTCAAGAATATTTCACTGTAACTACTTCTATTAATAAAGGCATTCATTCTACAGTTTCAAGATTCACTCTCATTTATATTTCTTCACTTAGTGAGGACAGGAACTTGGTCACTGTAGTACAGGATCTGTTTTCCTACCATATAAATGTCCAACCTAAAAAACCAAACCCTTGTATTTGTAGAGGTCTCTTGGGTGATTTGTATTTTACTCACCAGAATGCAAAAAGTAATTTCCCCATTGCTCACACTGATGATACACTTCACACTGTGCAATTTCATTTTCATGATGAGGAAATGCAAGATCTATTCCACCGGTATGGATGTCCAGCTGCTTTCCAAACACTGCACTGTAACAATATTTTCCTGTTCAGTAAGTAGAACACTACAAAAGCCTTTTGTAGAAGAAATACAGAAAAGAATAAGATGAAACATCATAAGTTTATGTGTACAATTTCATGATTGCAGTTTTAAAACAAGGGCTTGCACAGATCTTGGATACCAAAACTGCAGCAGAACTTGTACGGATGGGACCCGTATCTGCCCGCAATTAATTCTCCTTAGTAGGAGCAATTATTTTTCTAACTTAACTAAGTTAGAAAAGCAGGACATCTCCTTTCCTTGTTCTGCTACCGTTTCATTATCAGACAGCTGCCTTCATCTGCAAGCCTAACAACTTCAAAGTGATGAACATTTCTGTAAATTCACTATTATTATTCTTTATCTTGTACCTTTTCTGTAAGAATTCAGGCAATGCTGTACGCAGTCATGATATAATATGCTTAGTCCTATACTGTTACAATGTCAAAAGAAAGTGTCAGTGCCTCTGACCTCCCAAGGCCATTCCTCTCATCCCAACAGCACGGCTGTATCTGTGCAGGTCACCCACGGGCTTGCACAGCACAGGCCTCTCTGCAAATACTGGTGGCTGGAAATAATGTATTCATGTGGGAATCTATAGGACAGACCTAGACGTTTTCTGATTTTACCCCAGGAGTGAAGGCTGCTATGCTCTGTCCACTGTTCCAGCAAGTCCCTACTAGGTCACGTTGGGCAAATGAATAACTTCATTTTGCCCGTCTGTTAAACAAAGACAACACTTACCTACTCACAGGGAGGTCAATCAGCACTAACTACACAAAAACCAGGGACACTCAAGCTGGGGAAGATGCAAGGTCTACACAGCAGAAAATAAAAGGCAAGCCCCACACATGCATGCACGTGTGTGTACAAACACACACAGTCTTCCCACACGTCACGTTAACAAGCTGCTCCCCGTAGCTGGCTAAATAATACTTTTGTCCCTTTTTGGGACAAAACACCCTGGTTCACGATGGCTCTGCAGAAGCAGTTGGGGCACAGGAAGAGAAGAAAACAAGGAAAAGAGAGGAAAGAAAGACTGGCTGTTGCCGTTTCCCAAACTCATGCCCCTCTGCTTCCTCCCATCTGCTCCAAAACCAGCTTAAGCACAGATCTTTGTGGCCCTGGCTCGTGCCGTCCCCTTGTGCCACCTGCAGAGGAGCACTGGCCACTTGCTGCTTCCTCCAACTTAATTCCCAATTAAGAGCTGGGAAGAGGAGAGAGACAGATCTGGAAACAGCTGAGGGGTGTGAGGAGCATCCCATCTCACTGCAAGGGAAACTCCAGAGGGGATCAGACCTAAGTCACAGCAGGTCGTTCCCTCCTCCAGGGCTGCATTAGAGACCAACATCCTCCTCCTTCACCATCCCCAGGAACAGGGTGGGTTAGCCAAAATTAGCTCACCTAGCCTACTTAAAGTGCTTTGAGACCTTTGGCAAAACAGATGAGTAAGTCGGTATTGCTTAAAATGGGCTTTGGACAGCCGACTGGGACAGCAAAATGTTCTAAGTAACGTACCAAAAATACGGTCTCCATTTTTCACAGTCCAAGATTACTAAACTGATGTTCTGCATGGGTCAACTCTTACTTACATGGCAGGAGCCTGATCCAGCCACAGTAAAATAAGTTTTTACACAAAGAAATGCAGACTATAAACAGCACCGCATTAGCAGACAGGCCATTTTATAATAAGCTGGCATTTCTTATCTGTGCAATGCTGTCACAGGTTTGCACTTCAAATACAGCATGGTTTTGTGCACTTCAGTTGCTTTAAGAACTGTTTGGCAGTGCTGAAGCTATTTAAAGGCAGAAAAATCACCCTTATAAATGTTTTTCACTATCAGGTAGTAATGACTAACAACCCCAGGTGCACCAGCAAAGCATATGAAAGAGAAACCTCAAGCATCTCTTCCACCTACTTTCAGCTTGGCTTGAAAACTTAAGTTAAACAGGGACAGATCTAAATAATTTGTTAATAGCTTCCAAAAAAAGATTTAAGACTGATGCAAAACTAAGTACCACTATCAATCTTCCAGGAGAGAAGATGTAAAGTCTCTTTTTTTTTTTTTTTTAAAAAATACAAATTAATAGGTCATAAGTTAACACAGTGTGGGACAAAGTACTACCATCCTGTGGAGAAAATAAAACTCTAAGTTAAAAGCAAAATTAATTTAAACGAACTACAAGCAAAATGCCACCATGCACAATTCACATCGCACCCACAGAATATACTGCCACAGAGAAATCAGAATATTTAATACCGTGGCTGACTTAAGGAAAGCTGAATAAAGCTTAGATGATTAACATGAATATCTACAACTGCTGTTAAGATAAAGCCAGCAAGATCTTGTATGCTCGCTGGCGTCACGATGGAATCCCATACCCTGGCCTCCTGACACAGCACAACATGCTAAACTAGGTCTGATGGAGACTGCAAGAAGTGGAAAGGAGGTTTATGATACTGATGTCATTTCTTTCACTAAAACTTTGGTTACTCAATTCAAGTCAAAAGACTTGCTAGTCAACTGTATGATCCTGCACAGCATATTTTAAATACTCAAGTCTGTCTCAAGAGAAAGTGCCAAAACACAGCAAGACAGCTACACCATTAAAGTAGAGCAGAGTTTGTTTGGGTCACACGTAACACCTCAAATTGCAGGAAGTATTCACATTAAACTGGTGCTTTCTACTGATCAAGAGAAAAACCCCACTTTCAATACTGCTGCTACCATTGTAGTGTGACTGAAAACTAAAACCAACACTAGATTTAAAATCCAAGAAATCTGACCTTGATATTGTGGAACACTCAATGTGCCATCCAGGTCTTCCTTTTCCCCAGGGAGAAGTCCAAAATATCTCTTGAGGTTTGGCAGCCTTCCACAGGGCAAAATCTTTACTGTGTCGTTTGTCAGTATCAACTGCCAAGAGTAAGTGATTTGTTAGTGGGATATGTCTCAAACAAAAAGAACAAAAATTTAAAAAATGAGCAAATGAAATCACGTTGAAAGGTGCGTTTAGTGAGCTACTCTGATTTTAATTGATTTCACTCAACTTTTCCCTGCAACTTTCCTCCCTTCCCTCTTATACAGGGCTTCCAGTTTCTCAATCAAGCATTTGAAAAAATAATATGTTGAATTAGATTTCTGCAGGCTAAAAAAGATGGATTGAAGATTCTTTAATACAGCCTATCCTTTCAGTTCTTTTGGCCTTCTCTGTTTTCACATCGTTCATTTAGTTACTTCTCAGCCAGTTTCTCCAGGACAAACTGATTGCACCACAGCAGCAAAAGTAACAAAAACAACCTAAACAAAACAAGAAAAAGACAAAAAAAACCCAAGCAAAAACACCCACATTTTTTTTCTCTGGGACACAAATAGTTTCTGGTTCACAATCTATAAAACCAAGAGCAGCAAGGACATGAGAATCAAAACTATTCTTGGATAACAGCATCCTTCCAGTGCCATTTTCACCAATGGCTTCTCTACAAATGTCTCCTGCCCAGCTATCTTTGTTGTTTCCTTCACTACACAGCCAAGGATGTAGTCCTTTTTGCCACAGTACCACAGAGGATGGTTCATCGCCACTGGCTCTTAACCTCCAGTCAGATACACGCCACTCCCCGGCAGGAGTGGCAGAACAGAGTTCTGGACTTTTTTATTTTGCTGACAAATACACGACCTCATATTTGACTGATGCAGAACAATATACCTATTCGGCTTGAAGGGATCCAGCTTGCAAACAACTCAAGTTTCCTTATTTAACACTGCTCATCTGTTTTATCAGCAGCTGACACTAGATTTACTTCTTTCATCTACTTTTTTCAGATCACTAACAAAACCACAGTGTATTGCTGGGTCTGAACCAATCCCTGGAGCATTCCAGTATCAATACATTTTAATGATGATTCACAGCTATTTTGGGAAATCTATTAGATGGTCATTTTTCTTGAGCCATTCCGCTTGTAGTTTATTGATATTATACAGAGTTCTTATACAGAACGTCATGCAATATTAAGGGAAGCACATTACAAAAACCCATTACACCTGCTTCATCATTCAAAATTGCTAAGAAATAAAGGCACAGAAATATAACCCTAGTTTTATCTACTGAATCTTCATTCTGTCTCTGTCACTAGTTTGCCAAGCTCTGACTGACCAGTATCTGTTTACTCAATCCTTTTTTTTTTTGGTGAGTATACTGCTATAAAAAAAAAAGCGCTCTTCACCTTCTCTGTTATAAGCAAAACAACAGGCAAAATCTTTGGAAATAACAGTAGATTTGGTTGCAAGTGACTTGAGGCAAAAACAGATAAACCACTTGATTGGTCAGAGCTGAGGCTGGAAGGCACCTTGGAGATCATCTAGTCCAACCCCCTGCTCGGAGCAAGCTCAGCTACAGCAGGCTGCCCAGGACGGCATCCAGGCGGGTTTTGAATATCTCTAAGGATGGAGACTCCACAGCCTCTCTGGGTAACATGTTTTTGTGTTAACCATCCTCAGAGTAAAAAAAAAAAAAAAAAAAAGTTTTCTTAGCTTTAAATGGAATTTCCTGTGTTTCAAACTGTGTCCATTGCCTCTTGTCCTGTCACCAGGCACCACTGAGAAGAGGCTGGCTCCATCTTTTTTACTCCCCCCATCAGGTATTTGCCCACATGAGTAAGATGCCCCTGAGCGTTCTCTTCCCCAGGCTGAGCAGTCCCAGCCCTCTCAGCCCTTCCTCATATGAAAGATGCTCTAGCACCTCCACTGTATTCATGGCCCTTTGCCGGGCTCTCTCCAGTATGTCCATGTCTGTCTCGTACTGTGGAGTCCAGCGCTGGACCCAGCGCTCCAGGCATGCCTGACCTCACGCTGAGCAGAGAGGAAGGCTCACCTCCCTTGAGCTGCTGGCAATGCTCTTCCTAATGCGGCCCAGGAGGCTGCCTCTGCAGTCAGTAACTGCCTCCAAATAACTGCCGACAAAACACATTCCCTCTGCAAGCTGTAACGCCGAAACAACTCCAGAGTAGAGCTGTGAGAAGTTTCTGGCTGCGACTCACCTGAGCATCAGCATGCCAGGCATTTTCAGTAATTGCAAACAGATTTTTTTCAATGAAGAAATATTGAACTTCAGCATGCAAAGGATGCAGGAGACCTGCAGGGAAACTACAGAGCGGCTCAGCAACCCTGCTCAGCAGCTGGACAACTGCAGCCAAGGGTATAGGCACACTCCAGCACAGCGTATCAAGAGGTTGTTCATCCTCACACAAATAGTGAAAATAATGAAAAAGCCAAATAGTGAAAATAATGAAAAAGCCAAATTCATCTAGTTAGTGTGCATCAGAAGGCTGCAACTGTCCACACGACAACACAGTAGATGTTTCCCTGCATTTACCCTTGACTACCTCACTGCTGGCTAGTTGCAACGGCTGAGACCACCGCCTCACTATGAAGTTTGTATGTACCACTCCCAAGTATTTAAATAAAATTAAGAATCTTAGTTGTTCTAGCGTACCAGAACAAAGGTACAAGGGGAACCAAGTATGAAGAGAGACCAACAAGTTTCCTCTTGCACCAGCAACAGTGAGTGCCTTGATAAATACTAAAAAAAAATAAATAAAAAATAAAAAAAACCCTAGGTCTTCATTAACCAAAAAGCTGGTTATACCCAACAGGTTAGAAAACTGTTTCAGACTGTTCAATGAAGGTTTATGCATAGATACATCACGAGTTCAGACAATGCATTAATACAAATCAGTTGGTGTCATGAACATACCTGCTTCAGCTTGGGTATCTGGATAAATAGCAGTTAATACTCCATACCTTTTTCCCCAAGACTTAACATCAAAATAAACATTGCCTAAAAGCAAAGAAATGTTTAGTTTTACAGCAAAGACAGGACACATTCATGATGACAAGGGAACATTTCCCTAAAAGCAAAACAAACTACCCTTCAACTCCCATTTGAAATTCTGATTTATAAATTCAGAAATACTGCAGTAGTAGTAGCACGTTTCCACATTCCCAGTAACCTTGCTGCACATGCTCACTCTGCACATAGGATAACTTTGTATTCTGCAGATCTCCCCAGGTTCCCATGCACAATTGGCATTCCCCCTCTCTGACTGAAATGTAGCCTACTACTACTCCAGTTATAATGCACTCGACTCCTTCTACAACCACCAGCTCTGCTAAAAAAAAAAAAATTAAAAAAAAATCAACACATTGTGCTTTGCAGGCACATCTTTTACAGCACCTCCTGATTAGAGTTAAGAGGTTCCCCCAGCTCTCTTGTAGATGCCAGGCCAAGACTGCCCCACAGGAGCTTAGATAGCAGCTCATTACAGTAAACAATTATATTAAGTAATGAGCTACATTTAACTCAGAAATTGAGTAATAATTGCTCTGCCCACTCATGTCATCACAAACAAGTTGCTCACACCCTGTCTGTTAATCAACAGAAGGAAAGCTTGGCACAGGGTATCTCATCTGATCCCAAAACAGGATTACTAAGAGCACAGATTTCCTGTGCATGTGCTGAACAAGGAGTTGCCTTGCTGCGAGTCTTACCTTGCGAGGTTGCGTAAGCATGTCCACTAGCAATTATTGCTTTTATAAAGGAAATTATCTGAGGAATATTGTCAGTCACTCTCATATATGCTGTTGGAGGAAGGACCTTAAAACAAAGAAAGAGTAACATCTCATTAGCCTGTATGGAATACACTGCTAACAAGTCCCTTCACTCTAAGAAACAAATTTTAAAGAACACTGTCCTCAATTTTAACTTTCCAAAAAAAAAAAGTTGCAAGTACCATAAAAAAGTCACAAGTAGAATTCAAGATAATACACCAAAAAAAAAAAAAAAAGAAAAACTTTCAGGTGTGGCAAAAAAAAATAATCCACTCATTTCTCCCAGTAGCTTACTCCTTGCTTCTGACAAGTTTTTTGGACAAGAAGCAAAGACACTTGAAGTCAATAAAAGACTATTTGATGTTTCATACGCTTTAGATCAGGCTATTTCTACATTGTAGTAAATATATATGATCTGTGAAACTAGGCTCTGTTACATGGAGCAAAAAAATTTTCTGTCCCTAAAGACATTTAACTTGTTCATTCCAAATCTAGAGTTTGCATCTTCCTCCATTTCTTTACCCAAAAAGTGTGCAATATCTTCCCAAAAGAATGAAAAAGTAAATCAGCACTCAGTTTCCAAGCAACACTATCACACAAGCAATCGATTCATTTTTTTCAGATCAAACTGTCAAAGTCAGATTCCTTACCAAACTAATTGCTTTAAAAGACTCTTAAATTTAGAAGCTCAAGTATTTGTACCTTTAAGGCAGCCATATCTTGTTTGAAGTCTTCTTCATAAATACGAGCAAGAGCTACTGGCGATATATTCATCTGAAAAAAAAAAAAAAAAAAAAGAGAAACAGATTAGTAAATCAAAGTAATAATATAAAATATTGCAATCTTTTATCAGACAGTTAATAGCTAATTGGAAGACTTACAGAGCCCCCAAGGTAAAGAGTCAGAAAGGCTTATTAATCCAACATTCATAGAGGAAGAGATGTAAGTTATTTATAACTTAAAAGTAGTATTTCATTTATGCTTCTGAATTGCCAAAATATGAATACATATCTTCTAAGCTAAGGCAACCGAAGATTAAAACAAACTCCTTCCTTCCCTCCCTCATTATTTTCCTCTTGAGAGGGTCTTCCATTTCCAGCAACAAGATATACTACAGAACACAGGACGTGAAATTCATTTGACTTATTGGCAGGAGACGCCGATACCACCGACACATCAGAAAGACAGATCAGAGACTTGCAGGATGAGACAGGATATTAATTTTCAGTGATTAAGAAAAATAAGCTATTTCAGATGATCGTGGTTACTCATAGATCTCCGTACGACCAGGGGAAATGGACTGAAAGTCAGTCCCATGCTTTGCCAAGCGCGGCACTTGTCAAGCACCTTCTCCGCGTTTCTCATTGACAGGCTGAGGGGCAGGAACAGGGATCCTCGCAGAAGTAACGAGAAAGCGCAACCCAAAAGGGAAGAGACAACTTGCACGTGACGAGATGCTTGTTCTCAAATATTCAGAAGAGGCCAGGGCTCGAAAGATGCACGACAGCAAAACCTGCTCTAGCAAGCAAAAGCATGACATCAAAGTGTTTCAAATGCGAGCTTTTATATCTTCTTTGAGGAGAACCTACTGGGGAGGAGACATACTGGCAGTCTCTCCAGCTTGCAGGTAACTGAATCATTAACAAAAGAAATCCAGTTTCATCACTTCCAATTCATTACTGGAGTATCTTTAAGGGGTCTGATTTTTGGAGCGCACTGTTTGGACAAGCTCCTGGCCAAGGCAGGAGTTCTGCGGAAGACAGACCAGACACTCATCCAGCAATGAAAGAAGGAAGATGCTCAGCACTGAGAAATGAAGGCATGCTTCTGCCTACAGACCAGAGTGTGCTCTTCCAGACCCCAGCGACAGGACTCATCTCCATAGACAGCTCAGCTGCTTCCTTGATCAACAGAGAGACAAAAGGTGCCTAGAAGAGCAAGATGGGGAAATTCCTCCCTTCCAGACAGATGTTCAAAATACAAAGAGACTCATCTCTCTCTTAAAGGACCACTGAGGGCATGCAGCATGCTCACTGTACACTAGATGCCCAACTTTCAGACTAGATGAATCCCACCAGAGGGTGGGGAACAGCCTTAGGCATGTTGATCCCACCACTGTAATGCTTCGGGTACAGAGGTCCCAACAACAAGATCAGACTGCTGAGGTAGAGGCCTTGGCCATCCAAACAAAATGTGCAGAGCAGAGCAGGCATTTCAAAAAGTCACCAAAAAAAAAAGGTCACAAAAAGATTACTTCATACAACCGAACAATGCAGTAAATAAACACAAATTATTTTAAAACATCATGTCATCCCCCCCTCCTCAACCATAAAGTCACCATAATGTTCTGACAATAAGGAAAAAAATTTACAATGCACACATACAGATTTAAAATGCCTGGGTTTTTTGTTTCATTGGGTTTTTTTAAGATGGCCTATTGCCTTAGAAAACTGCAAGTAAATGGACTAAGGGAACACACATGTATTTCTACAGGGTCAGTGTGCTAGTATTGGTTTGAATGCAGTGCCCTATATTTGACTGCAATAGTAACTGTTTACTTAAAGATTAAATAAAAGTGACAGCTGTCAAATTCTCCGGCTCCAAGAAACTAGCTTAAAGCTTGCAACTGCAATTTGATCCACTACATTCATTTATGATCGAGAAGACATGACTCATAGAATTGAAAAACAAAACAGACAAAAAATATTCAAAACACAGAATATATTCCTAGCATTTCAGAGTCCAAAAAGCATTTTAAAAAACACAAAGAAAAAAAGAGAAGAATTGGAATAATCATTCACTAAGCTCCGCTGGTAAAAAAGGTTTGATTAAAATCCAGCTGAGAGCCACTTATTGGCATAAAACCTTTAATCATGCCAACAACCCTGAGAATTCAGTGAAAGGGTTGGTTGCGCTGGTTGTTGGGGTTTTTTTTATTCTATCATTTTCACATGAATCCAGCCACCAGGCCCCATTCTTACCAAGTCTTATCCATACACTCAACATCAATTGTCATGTAGGCGATGAACTCTGACAAGCCCGATGAAGCTTTCCAAGGCACAGACGTTGCAGCTAGATGGTGCTCGGCACCTTTTGGGAACCACCCTCCGCCTCACATGTGGCGATGCTGCATGTACTTACTGCCTTTAACCATCAACGGGCACACAACGCTTCTCCAGAACACAGCCAGAAGCCTTCTAGCTGCTAAGTTTTGAGATGCTTTGGGGATAAGATACTCTCTAACCGTGCTGAGGATTCACCCCGGGGTTTTTGTTCCCCGCTGGCCTCCCCGGCAGGAGGTGAGGGAAGGAGGACTGGGCCGTGGGTGCTGCAACACAGCCCTCCCCACCACACAGCTCTGTGCCCATTGACCTCCACGCAGCTCTCGATGCCCAGCCCCATGACAGCCATGCTAGGGGACCAGAAATCTCAACATGTATTATCTACTAATTAAAACAAACACGACTCAAGAAAAACAAAAAAAAAACCAAAAAAAAACCAAACCACAAACCTAGGTTAATTTCCCTA